GGCCGCGGCGCGCGTGCGCGGCCCCGCCCCTTCCTGCCGGGCCTGCTCCGCCCAGTTTCACCTCAGGAGCGCCCGGGACTCGCAGCCCAGGCTCCCAGGCGGGTCAGTGAGCCCTTTCTAGCAGCAGTTTCCTCCTCGCGGGAGTGCGCTGCGCTGGAGCGACTTACCGCGGGCAGGAAAGGGGTTAAAGGTGTCCCCGCTGTCCTTTACCGAGCCGACCGTACCCTTCTTACCGTCTCGGCCCGCGCCCTCCCTGCGCCGCAGCTCGAGAAGCCTAGGATTTGGAGAATTTAGAAAGTCATCTCCCGCCGAGCCTCCCTGCGCGCTCGACCCCACACACAGTCAGAAGTGAGACATCGTCATGTCAGGGTCCTTGCCTCGGGGTCCACAGATCCCCACAGCGCGCGGGGCGGCGTTTCGGGAACGCGGGCATCGGCGGGAATTGCGCGTGTCCCGCGCGCCTTCTGGAGAGAGCGCCCGGAACTGCCAACAACTGCTCAGAGGAGACTGGCCGCCGGAGAAATTAAGAACCACTTCTCGCTTTATTTCTTCATACTGTTTCTAGTACGTGGTTCAGTCCTACTGTAGTTAGCACCTCCTGTTTACAAAATATTGTGCTAGGAGCCGTAAACAAAAATACTTGACAGACAGTACTTCATACTTTATAGCTCCCGAGGCCTTGACAGAGGGATGATCTCTTTAGAAATAAGGTCTGCCTTCAACATGGAAAATCCGCAGAGGAAGCAAAGAACTAACGTGTGTTGCAGCGTTTCTCAGACTTTTTTCCACCTGTGCCCGGTAATGCATTTCACACTGTGCCTCAGCACACGCATCTGCACATATACCCGGAGGTTAAATGGAAACAGGCATCTTATGAAATAATACACACGCTACATGTTATGTATTCTATTCTACTTTAACTTGCTGGTTACTGCGCACACACTGATTTCACAGCTGTACAATGTTATTTTTAAGCTGATAGGAAGGACTTATTGAACACTGGCTAGAACACATGCTAGGCACTAGTGCTTTGTATCTCTGACCTGATTTAATTCTCTGAGGTGGGTAATATTCTCCGTTTTAAACTTGTAGACATTGAGATTGAGAGAGGTTGAGCAATTTAATCTCCTTGGTTATTTCACAGGAAGAGTATGAAGGGAATTCAAGCACTGATTTGGGAGATGAACAGAGGAGACAGTGGATGTGAACTGATTTTTAAGATCTCCTCGACTCTCCTTGTTTATAATCCTGAAACCATCAATGGAGAAACCAATCGCAGATCCATCTTGATGAGCGGGGAGCGGCACATCATGTCTAGACTGAAAAAGCCAGCTGGAGAGTAACGTGGTGAGTGCTGACGCTGGTCCCCGGGTCCCTTCTCTTCCCATCGTTCCCTGAGTGAGCATCACCGCCACCCAGAGTGGCTCAAGCCAGAAACCTGGAAGCCATCCATCCTAGACGCCAGCCTCTCCCCGTCCATCCACGTAGCCAGCAAGCCTTTCACACCTACATTGTAATATTTGCCAATGAAATCATTTTGATAATCACATAGAGACGCAGACACCCTAGTGAAAAAGACTTACTCATGGACTTTTGAGTCTTAGAGCAGCTCCCTCTGAGGTCGATTACCTAACTATACGACAATCAATGTATAAAGACTTCGCAACTCACATGTTTAATGAGGCGGACTCAGGAACTTCTAGACTGCCAAATATTGCTATGAATTAGCCCAAACACTTAGTTGCCTGTGAACCACAAAACTTTTATCAGTGGAGTATCATATATAATTATGGTTTACCCTTTTGTGATTATAACGTTTAAGGAAATACCCCTTTTTAAGACCAATGTTGCACTGAGGTTCGTTACCATTTATGTTCACAAAAAAATATATTTCATCAATTCTGTGATGACTTTTTTCACATTTTAACATCTCTAAAATTGGGATGTCTTAAAATCAATAGTGTTAAATTGTACTAGGCAGCATTTTTTATTTTTAGTGGTACATAAAATGATGACGCCTTACAATGGCTGGTGTCTTAGATTTGATTAAACATGTAGCATGGTTCCTATACTTTAAAGTCGAAAGAGAAGAGTCCTTCCTGGATGAAGTAAACCTTCTCCTCTGACTGGCTTTGATTTACTCCTCTACTTCAACTATTTTTCAGACTGGGGGAAGAAAGAAAAAGAAAAAAGATACTACCTACCATGTTTCAGGAATACTAGGTGCTTTTATGTAGATTATTGCTGAGCAAATGGATGTCAAGAAGTTAGAAGACTGAGGTATTTGAAGGAGGACCAGTGTGCTTTGGAAACAGAATCACGGTTCTATAGGACAGCACTGGAGGCCCCCCCTCCAGGTTGACATAGCCTCTGCCAATCAAGCCTTTTTGGTTATGATTTGCAACCAATTAAGAAATCACCCCAACTGTTTTATTAACCAGTGTCACCCCAATAAATTCAATAAAACATTACCCCAACTACTAAAACACTTCCCTGTTTGGGGACGGTGTTGATTTTCCTCAAGGTGGTACCCAAAAGAGTTTTTCATGGTCTGGTTTCTGACTCTCTAGCCTGGGCTCTGGCCGTGTCCCACCCTGGTGCCTCCATTTCAGTTCTTTTCAGCTGCTCGCTTCCCAGATCCTTCACGCTGTTCATGGGTCTCCTCCCCTCCGGTTCCTTCTGTCTGGATGCCTTTTCTCCTCTTTATGCAGTAAAACTCGTACGTATCCTTTAAGTCGGAGTGTTCTCTCGCTAAGAAATCTTTCCCTGACAAACCACCTGTCTCTTCACTAGATTCAAGTATCCCTCTTCCATGCTCCCAAGCCTCCCTTTGCTTTCCTTCCATCATAGTTTTTCACATATCACACTGTAATCGTTAGAATTTGACTCTCACCCACCAGAAAGTAAGTACTTAGAGGGCAAGAACTGTATTTTTTTCTTTGCCCTTGACATAGTACAGCACTTAATATTGGTTTGTTGAATTAATGCTTTAAGCATAATACCATGAAACCTCATCAAATACCCTGTTGGGTGTGTATTTCCATAATCAGTTATGAGTAATGTCAAAATAAAGTGTAACTGATTTCAGCTGTTTCTTCTGGTATCTGTACCGCATTGTCCATCACTTTAGAGGGCCTATTGAACTCATTATGTTCATCAGGAGGTTTCTTAGGAGACTGAGGGAGCAGGGTCAAAGGCTTTGTATCATAACTAATGAAGAGGAGATAAATTAGTTTATTGAACAAATAGTGCTTTAGTGAAACTGCTGGTTTCTAATGATTTTATTCATAAAGTCAAGTCACTTTGTTAGTAGTTTCTAGGATGTAACTTTTTTATGTATGTTTTTATTGATTTGAGAGAAAAGGAGAGGTAGAGAGAAACATTGATCAGCTGCCTCTCATACCCTTAATGGGAACTGAGCCCACAACCCTGCGTGTGCCCTGACCGGAAATCGAACCAGCAACCTTTTGGTCCATGGGATGAAACTCGGCCAACTGAGCCACACAAACCAGGGCTAGGGTGTAACTTTTTAAAACTATAAAAACTGGGAGCCTGGCCAGGTGTGGCTCAGCAGTTGATCATCGACCTAGGATCCAGGAGATCCCGGTTTGATTCCCGGTCAGGGCACATGCCCGGGTTTCGGGCTCAATCCCGAGCAGGGGGTGTGCAGCAGGCAGCCGATCAATGACTCTGTCATCATTGGTGTTTCTGTCTCTCCCTCTCCCTTCCTCTCTCTGAAATCAATAAAGATAAAATAAAATTTAAAACCTGGATCAGTTGCTCTGTACACTCCCTGACTGGGGATCAAACCCGCAACGCAGGCACGTGCCCTGACCAGGAATCAAATTGGCAACGTTTCAGTGCTTGGGATGACGCTCAACCAACTGAGCCACGCGGCTGGGCCATCCTAGGCGTATTTTAGATCCTGAAGACCCTTTGAGCTTCTTTCTTTTAACTGGGGGTAGGCTGGGACAGAGGGAGACAGGGCTTCAGTACGAAATACTTTTGCTCTTTGTATCTCATCTTGGCTCTTGCTGGCAGCATACTTAAAAGTCCTTGTGGTTGCTATGGCCTATTTCTTTCTCTTGCGAGCCTTAGTCCACTTTGGATTTGACTCTTTCAGAGCACAGAGGTATTTTATTAATCATTCCTCACAATTCCTATTTTACAAATTTCAAAGCAGCTTTTGCAATTTGCTTTGAGGTTCACAGAGCTCGTTAGGAAGGAGACCGATCTGAAGCAAGGGTGTAAGTGGAAGTTAGGGGAGCCCTCAAAGCAAGAGTAACTGCGGGGTCTTCAAAGAGCTCAGTACCGAATCGGCGGAGAAGGCCGGAGACCCATTTGGAGGCTTGTGGGAGGGGAGGCGGGCCGGGAACAGATCAGGAAGGCCTGACTGGTGGCACTCGGCTTCAGGGCAAGCAGCAGCCACAAAGGCTAGGAGAACACTATCGAGGCCTCATGCAGAGGGCAAGCAAGCACTTGGTTTCGCTTTTGGAAGCTCAGTTTCCTCAGTAAGCCGCTCAACAGGACTTTTAAGGGCATGGTTTTCAATACTGGAAACTACCAACAGTAAAGGAGGGTTGTATGTAGTTGAGCAAGTGAAGAGTAAAAAGTCTTGATCTGCATAGTCAGCCGGGTGTAAGGCTATAGTTTAAAAAAAACTTATAAGTTCCAACATACACGTCCTTTTAAAGGACTACTTTAAAAATTCTGCTGGCAGAAACTATTTTAAAATGACCAGCTTTGGAGTTTGTCCTTAGCTTAAGTTGGACAAAACATATTTAAAACGGCTGCTTATACAAAATGAACAGAGCTATTTTTAATGGATTGTTCATATCTGAACACTTTTATGTTTCAAAAACGTGATTAAAAAAATTGGACAGAGCTATGCTTTAAGTATTTGAAGGTAACTTGTTTAGACTAGAAAACTGGTATCAAACTGATCAGTCTAAAAGGAATTAGTATGTATGTGCATAAACAATTTTTCTATATATTAAACACTGACATATGACTAAAATATTTTTTTTAAATAAAATACTCAAGATGGAGAAGTTAAAAGTCCATTAATCAGTTTTTAGGCTGCTCCTTTCCATTTATAAATAATACAAAAATAATACGGCTACTAACTTTTACACAAACATAAGATGGAAATATTTTCAACAGAATGAGACACCACAATGAAGGCTTCATGAATAATTTATTCCATTTGAAGTTTTGTTTTTTTGTGTTTTTTTAAAAAGTATAAACCTTTTCACTCCCTCAGTCACAATCTGTACAGCCCAGCGCCGGCAGCAATAGTGTTTGTTCCTTATTGTTTTGTCACGTTTAAGAAAAGCAGTTGGACCACGTGAAGGGTCACTGCGGAACACCTTTAAAACGCCCCTCATAAAGTGACCGAGCTGTTCTGAGTTGATGCTGACACATGTCCAGTAATGATGTTACAATTTGTAGTTTAAATTCAGTAACTCTAAGGTCCACAAATCCAGTTTACTTTCAAAACTAAAGCTATTTTAAAACTTTATGAATACATCAACCTGAGGAGTATTTTAGGTCCCAAATCCAGTTTTTAAATTAATACTCCACAAAAAAGAAAACATATATATATATATATATATATATATATATAAA